CGCCTGCGTTGCAGGCGCGTCTGGTGGGGACGCGAGACAGGGTCTTTTCTGTGGTGCCCCCCCCCCCGACTCTGGAACACCCTCCCCAAAGATCTTAGACAGGCTCCTTCGTTGGCAGTCTTTAGAAAGAACTTGAAGACCTGGCTGTTACGATGTGCCTTTCCAGAAACCAACACACACAGATAGATATCTACATAAAAACTCCAACCATCACCCAAGTCAAAAAAGAAGCACCATTAAAGCCTTGGCAGACCGTGCAAAAAGAATCTGCGAACCCCACCTCCTCCAAGATGAACTGAACCACCTCAACTGGGCTCTCCAGGCCAATGGATACTCCACCTCAGACATCAGAAGAGCTGCAAGACGGAGAACAAGCCACGAGAGAAACGATGAAAATCCACCCAGAGGAAAAGTGTTCTTGCCATACATCAAGGGAACCACTGACCGAATGCTAATGAAGGTGATCAGCTGAAACATTCACACCTAACTGCAGCAGGGAAGAGCTCCTTGCTACATTCAGCAGAGGACAAGAGGGATCCTCTCACCTCTGCAGGACTCTACTGTAAACCATGTAGCTGTGGAGAAGTCTGCATAAGGAAACCACCAAACGCAGCAGCATTGCCCAAACACGCATCAAGTAACATGAAAGGCACTGCAGACTACTTCACACCAGAGAAGTCAGCCATAGCAGAGCACCTGATGAACCAACCTGGACACAGCATATTATTTGAGAACACAGCAATGCTGGACCACTCTCACAACCACCATGTCAGACTACACAGAGAAGCCATTGAAATCCACAAGCATGTGGACAATTTCAACAGAAAGGAAGAAACCATGAAAATGAACAAAATCTGGCTACCAGTATTAAAAAACTCTAAAATTATCACAGCTAAACAACAGAGAGGAAAAACCAGGCACAGATTAACACCTCCCAGCAAGAGATTTTCCCAGGCTCAGGCAGGCCTTCAAATGCTAATGAAGGTGATCAGCTGAAACATTCACACCTAACTGCAGCAGGGAAGAGCTCCTTGCCCCACCCCAGCCATTCCACAGATATATAAATCCAGTTTTTCTAATTCCAACAGACCTCACTACCTCTGAGGATACTTGTCATAGATGCAGGCGAAACGTCAGGAGAAATGCCTCTAGAACATGGCTCTATAGCCCGAAAAAACCCACAAGAACCTAGTGATTCCAGCCATGAGAGCCTTCGACAATACAATAAATAATAATAATAATAATAATAATAATAATAATAATAATAACTCCTACTCTTAGAAATTGTGAGAGTTCAAAATGAAGACACAGGAAGAAATTAGAATATCATATGGAGACCTATCCTGGTTCCAGTATAGACAACTCAAGGAAGCCTTTAATAAAGACAAAAAAAAATGGTTTTTGAATCTGAAGAAAAAACCTGAGATAAGATTATGAGCTCTGAAAGAAAGGTGATTACCAAACTATATCAAACCTTATTAGGATGGGCAACAGAGAAGGATCAAACAAAAACATGCATGTTAAAATGGACAGCCAACATTGGACATCCAATCAGAACTTCGGACTGGGAAAAGATTTGGAATGTCAAATTAAAATGGATAAACTCCTATGACTTCAGGGAAAATTGGATCAAGATGATGTACCAATGGTACCTCTCACCTAGCAAACTGGCAAAATGCTATAAAAATCTTTCTGACTCGTGTTGGAAATGCCACAGCAAGAAAGGAACCTTCTTCCATCTCTGGTGGGCGTGTGAGAAGTCTAAAAAAAATTGGGGGAAGATACACAAAATCTCAAAAACTCAAGGATCCTATATCACTACTAACATAAGAGGGAAAATCAGTAATTAGAAATAATACTAACCTTCCTTCATTCAGTCCCAGCCACACTCACTTCCCCCCTTTCTCTCTCTCTCTCTTTTTCTCTCTCCTTCCCCCTCTCCCCCTCTCTTCTCCCCCTACCCCAACATTTTTAATATTAAAATATGACATGCTGATGATGAACAACCTTTCAGATGTACCCTTGAAAACCCGCAATGAAAACTATTTTTAAAAAGGGGGAATTGTGAGAGTTGAAGTCCAAAACACCTGGAAGGCCAAAGTCCGCCCATGCCTACTCGTAGCTGGTTGGCCATCTGTCAGGGATATTTTGTGCTTTTCCTGCAGGGCAGATTGGACTAGATGGCCCCTGGCTGGTATAGAAGACCCAACCCTCAGCCCTGTGAGGAGAAGAGCTGGAAGAGCTATGACTACCTAATCTAACCCTGTGGGAAGGTCCAGCTGCGGCCTACCCAGGGCCAATTTTGGGGCCTTGGTCCCTCCGCCGCCCGGCGGCCTTTCTTTCTGGCCCTGAGGGCCTTTGATTGACAGCGCGGCCCCGCCCCCTTTGGAAGGAGAGAGGGAGGAGGGGGGGCACCCGCTCTGCAAACTCCGGGGAGGGCCAGCCAGCGAGAGCAAGCAAGCAAGAAAGTGCCACGACTTCACCCGGCTCGGACCCCGCGGAGGAAGGCAAGGAGGAGGTGAGCCCCTCCGGTTGTGCCCCCCCCCCTCGTTTTCTCTTCCTCGCACAGCTATGAGGAGCTTGGCTGGCAATGGGAATGCGCCGTCGCTTTGGCCATCTGTCGGGAGAGCTTTGATGGTGTCCTGGCAGAAGGGGGTGGGTGGCAGGGTTGGAAGGCCCTGGCGGGTCTCTTTTGCATGGCCTCTGTCCAGATTCCCTCCCTTCCTGGGATCTGAAAAGCGGTGGACACTGTACAGAAAGTTTAGTAGGACTTGGCCAAACTTGGGGGAAAGTCATCACCATGTGTGTCCTCCTTGCATTTGGACCCAAGGATGCCACTGATACCGGGCAGGTTGGTGGAGGTGGGAGTGATAGATAGAAAGCCTGGGAAGACATGCAGGCAGTCTTTCTATCTATCACTCGCCTTTTCTTATTTATTATTAATTAATTAATTATTGATTGATTGCTGTGTTTTGATTCACTTGGATGGAGGAGTTTGATCTTAATCCCTGCCTGTTGTCATGTTCATTGGGGTTCTTGGTTGACTTCTGGCTCCTTTTAGTTGTCTGTCATATGTTCTGTCTTGTAAGCCGCCCCGAGTCCCTTTGGGGAGATGGGGCGGGATTCAAATAAATGGAGAAGAAGGAGGACAAGAAGAGAAGGAAAGGAAGGAGGAGGAGGAGGAGATGAAGAAAAGGTGGTGAAGGAGAAGGAGGAAAAAGGAAAGGTGGAGGAAGGAGGAGAGGAACAAGAGGCGGTGAAGGAGGAGAAGGAAAAGAAGGTGGAAAAAGAGGAAGAGGAGAAAAAAGTGGTGAAGAAGAAAGAGAAGAAGAGCAATTGCCCAAACTATTCAGAAGGCAGGTAGGCAGGTTGTCTCTTGCCAACTCTCCTTCTTTTCTCCTCCTTCTCCTTCCTCTCCATCTGCTCCTCTTCTATCTCATTCTCTTCTTCCTCTTCCTCCACCACATTTTCCTCCTGTCCTCCTCCTCCTCCTTCCTCTCCCTTTCCTTTTCCCTTCTTCTCCATCTCCTCCTCTTCCATCTCCTTCTTTTCCTCCTTTCCTTTTTCTTCCTTCTCTTCTTTTCCTTTTCTCTCTTCCTCCACATATCCCTCCTCCTCCTCCATCCTCTTCCTTTCCTTTTTCCTCCTCCTCCTCCTCTTCCATCTCCTTCTCTTCTTTTCAGCCCCTTCGTTTTCCTCCTCCTTCTCCTTCTTTTTCCTCCCTCTCTTCCTTTTCCCCACTTCTTTTCCTTCTCTTCTTTCCTCTTCCTCTTCTTCTCCGCCACATTTTCCTCCTCCTCTTCTAATTCTTTTCCTTCTCTTCTCCTTCCTCTCCCTTTCCTTTGTCATCCTCCTCCTCCTCCTCTTCCATCTCCTTCTCTTCTTTTCCTCCTCTCAGTTTTCCTCCTTCTTCTCCTTTTTCTTCACTCTTCTTTCTCCCTCGCTTTTTCCTCCACTTCTTTTCCTTCTCTTCTTTCCCTCTTTTTTCTCCTTCTCCTCAACCACATTTTCCTCCTCTTCTCCTCCTCCCTCTCCCTTTCTTTTTTCCTCCTTCTTCTCCTCATCTTCTCCTTCCTCTCCCTTTCCTTTTTCCTCTTCTTTCTCCTCTTCCATCTTCTTTTCCTCCTCTTCCTCTTTTTTCTCCTTTTCCACCACCACATTTTCCTCCTCCTCTTCTCCTCTCCTCTCCTTCTTTTCCTCCTCTTTTCCTCCTTCCTCTCCCTTTCCTCCTTCTTCTCCTCATCTTCTCCTTCCTCTCCCTTTCCTTTTTCCTCCTCTTCTTTCTCCTTTTCCATCTTCTTTTCCTCCTTCCTCTTTTTTCTCCTTCTCCACCACCACATTTTCCTCCTCTTCTCCTCCTCCCTCTCCCTTTCCTTTTTCCTCTTCCTTCTTCCTCTTCTCCTTCCTCCCTTTCCTTTTTCCCTTCCTTCTCCTCTTTCTTCTTTTCCTCCCTCTTCCTCTTTTTTCTCTTCTCCTCCACCTTTCCTCCTCCTCTTCTCCTCCCTCCCTCTTTTCCTCCTTCTTCTCCTTCTTTTCCTCCTCTTCTCCTCCTCCCTTTCCTTTTTCCCTTCCTTCTCCTCTTCCTTCTCCTTTTCTTCTTTCCCTCCTCTTCCTCTTTTTTCTCCTTCTCCTCCACCACATTTTCCTCCACTACTCTCGTTTTTCCTCCTTCTTTTCCTCCTTTTCTTTCTCCCTCCCTTCTTTCCCTCCTCTTCCTCTTTTTCCGCCCTGACCAGCTAGTGATGAAACTGCCCAAGGGGCGACCTCAAGCTTCACGGCCTAAAGGGAGGAAGGGAAACTCCTCGGATGCCGCGGGGAAGAGGCAAGGGATGCCTTTGCGTGGATGGCGGAGGCGTCAACGTGGCCAGGAAGGGGGGGCTGCCCGTTCGGCCTCCTCCTCCGCCTCTTCTCCCGGAGGAGCCTCCTCCTTCCCTCTTTCCTCCCCCTCCGCGGCCTCTTCTCGCCGTGGCCGGGGGGGGGGGGGGGGGGCAGGCAGGCTTCCCGGAAAGGCGACGTGTCCAATCCTCCCGGAAGGAAGGAGGAGCCCTGGCCGCCCACAGTTCCGCCGCCGCTGCCCTCTCTCAATCTCTCTCAGTCTCTCTCTCTTTGGAGTAAAGCATTCACCGAACGTGAGTCAACAGGGAGATGTAGCAGCTGCAATTCCAAAAGTCTGAAGGCTTTGAAGCAGAGGCAGGATGGACATCTGTCAGGAGTGCTTTGATTCTCTTCTTTCCCTCTTACTCTGGCAGAATGGGGTGTATAACCCTTGGGATCTCTTCCAGCTCTATGATTCTGAGTAGCAATGGAATATTCATGCTAAATCCTTGGGTTTAGAAGAAAGGTATTTGTGCTGGAAGGCTTTCATGGCCAGAATCACTGGGTTGCTGTGAATTTTCTGGGCTGTACAGCCATGTTCCAGAAACATTCTCTCCTCATGCTTTGCCCACATCTATGGCAGGCATCTTCAGAGCCTGAGAGGCCTCTGAGGATGCCTGCCATAGATGTGGGCGAAACGTCAGTAGAGAATGCTTCTGGAACATGGTCCGGAAAACTCACAGCAACCGAAAAAGTTATTTGATTTGTGCATTAGGGTCTTGTTCTGGGACCTTGTGGGTACCAAAATCCATGGACACTCAAGTCCCATTATACACAACTACATAGTAAAATGGTGTCCCTTGTATAAAAGTTGCCAACGGTTTCCCACCACATTTGTGGATTTAACTGATTATTATGCGCAGTCTTTTAAATATTTTAAAATATTTATTTTATGTTTTAATATTTATATTGGAAAGTGCTTGTACTTTTAAAGGTATATTTTATGACATGGTGTATAGCTAGTACAATAAACAATTCAATTCAATAGTTTTTAATAGAGACTTCGATAACACTGCTGTCTATTTTGAACCGTTCTAACTCACTCAGTTCTTGTGGGTTTTTTCGGGCTATATGGTCATGTTCTAGAGACATTTCTCCTGACATTTCGCCTGCATCTATGGCAAGCATCCTCAGAGGTGAGGTCCTCACCTCTGAGGATGCTTGCCATAGATGCAGGCAAAACGTCAGGAGAAATGCCTCTAGAACATGGCCACATAGCCCGAAAAAACCCACAAGAAATGAGTGATTCCAGCCATGAAAGCCTTTGACAATACGTTTTAACTCAGTTTAGACATCAGTCAAATCTTTGATTGCTGGGAAGAAATCAAATGTGGCTGGGCTGAAATTTCCAACTTAACAGCAACCCTAAGGCAAACCTATTTTAGGATTTAGAATTGATTCTTGGCAGAAGGGATTTGCATTTGCCTTCCTCTGAGGCTGAGAGTGTGTGACTTGTCCAAGACCACTCAATGAGTTTCCATAGTTTAAATCCCAGTCTCTGTGTCCTAGAGTGCAACTACACTGTAAAATTAATGCTGTGGACACAATGGCTTCAAACTACAAGAAAGGAGATTCCATCTGAACATGAGGAAGAACTTCCTGACTGTGAGAGCCGTTCAGCAGTGGAACTCTCTGCTCGGAGTGTGGTGGAAGCCCCTCTTTGGAAGCTTTTAAACAGAGGTTGGATGGCCATCTGTCAAGGGTGCTTTGAATGCAATTTTCCTGCTTCTTGGCAGGGGGTTGTGTTCTGGAACAGCTGTTCCAGCAGCTCAAATTTTATGCTTTGCACTGAGTGTTTGTTTATAGTTCTAAGTTTCAGGGACTCTGCAGATAGGTGGCTTCTTTTGGCTGCATTCATAGGGCAAGCCACCTGTCAATTATCATTGGGTTCCCTGGTTCCATCCCCTTTCTAGGCTTTGGAGGGAAGGGAGCCTTTTCCAGTCAATCACAGCAAAGGTTAGCCAATGTATAGGATGTGTTTACTTCCCCTGTACAAAGGCTTCAACCTTTAAGAGCTCCAGGGAAAGAACGCCAGGGAAGCATTCCCACAGCTTTAAGGGTCTCCTAAGAACTCCAGGGATTCCTTCCTACAGCCTTGGGAGTTTCCAGGAAGACAGCCATTGCCTGTCTGGTAGGTCCTCTCAGTGTTTCGAGAAGCAGTTCGGCCTGGCAGAGGAGCCCACACCAGTGAGGGTTGGATTTTAGTTAGCCTTGGGAAAAGTTAAAAAGGGGAATTTTCCTTTGAAGAAAGTTATTGAAGATAGTGCCTGTTCCCTGTGGACAAGTTTGAGAGAACTGATACTTTACCAAGAAAGCTTTACAATTCCTGTTTGATTCATTAATAAAAGACTTTGTTGTACCTTTTAAGCCATTTGAAGATTCCTTTTGTAAAGGAAGCCTCTGAGAACTTTTCCTAGGGCCCCTGGCTTCCCGCTGAGTAAAGGTTACACATCCTATATCTAAAGTCAACTAGCTATAGGCCCAGCGGCAACAGAACAGGTTGGACTAGATGGACCATGAAGTCTCTTCCAACTCTATGATTCTATGAATCAAGTGAGTTGTAGTTTTACAAAGCTTTTAGCCTTTTTTTTGCTGATGTCTCACTGAACAACAACCCCCATAGCACTGAGCCATGGGAGTTAAAGCGGTCTCAAATTGCATTAAATCCACAGTGTGGGTCCTCCTCAAGTACAACACTAAAACAACTACACTACACTGGTTCTCATCTTGGATATAATAAAGGTGCTACAGAATTCTGCCTTGTATTTTTATGGCATTGGATTTTAATAGGCAAGACCTGTATACCAATTGTTTTATATTGTTGCTCTTTTATATCGTTTTGTATTGTTGATCTTTCCCATACTGTCTTTGTTTGGTGTGAATGTGAATGGCCCTGCAGTGGTTCTCGACCTGTGGATCCTCAGATGTTTTGGCCTTCAACTCCCAGAAATCCTAACAGCTGGTAAATTGGCTGGGATTTCTGGGCATTATAGGCCAAAACACCTAGGTACCCACAGGTTGAGAACCATTGGATGGTCTTCTAGACCAGGGGTCCTCAAACTAAGGCCCGGGGGCCGCATACGGCCCTCCATGGTCATTTACCCGGCCCTCGCGCAGGGTCGACCTAAGTCTGAAATGACTTGAAAGCACACCACAACAACTATCCTATCTCATCAGCCAAAAGCAGGCCCACACTTCCCATTGAAATACTAATACATTTATGTTTGTTAAAATTGTTCTTCATTTTAATTATTGTATTGTTTTAAGTGTTTTTTATATTACAAACTAGCCGTCCCCTGCCATGCGTTGCTGTGGCCCAGACTGGTGATCTGGAAAATAAAATAATGAGAACGTGTTGGTTTCTAATATATGTAATTTCGTTATGCTTGTGGGTAAGCAATATTTCGTGCTGTTTCTTTGTCAGTGTTGATGTGGAGATTGTCTGGTTTGCCTATTCTGCAACATGCAACATATAATTGTCCTTCTTTAGGGGTCCCTTTCAAATCTATGATACTATATCTGCATGTGTGTGAATCATATATATCTATATCTATGGCTGGATGGCTCTTTGTCAGGAGGGCTTTGATTACGTTTTCTTGCCCTGGTGAAGGGAATTGGACTGGATGACCCTAAGTATTTTCTATTGGTCATGGGGGTTCTGTGTGGGAAGTTTGGCCCAATTCTGTCATCAGTGAGGTTCAGAATGCTCTTTGATTGTAGGTGAACTATAAATCCCAGTAACTACAACTCCCAAATGTCAAGGTCTATTTTCCCCCCAAACTCCACCTGTGTTCCTATTTGGGCATATGGAATATTCGTGCCAAGTTTGGTCAGGATCCATCATTGTTTGAGTCCACAGTGCTCTCTGGATGTAGGTGAATTACAATTCCCAAACTCAAGGTCAATACCCACCAAACCCTTCCAGTGTTTTCTGTTGGTCATGGGAGTCCTGTGTGCCACGTTTGGTTCAATTCCATCATTGGTGGAGTTCAGAATGCTCTTTGATTGTAGATGAATTATAAATCCCAATAACTACCACTCCCAAATGTCAAGGTCTATTTTCCCCCAAACTCCATCTGTGTGCATATTTGGGCATATAGAATATTTGTGCCAAGTTTGGACTGGATCCTTCACTGTTTGAGTCCACTGCGCTCTCTGGATGTTGGTGAACTACAACTCCCAAATTCAAGGTCACTGCCCATCGATGCCCATGTTGGTCATGGGAGTGATGTGTGCCACGTTTGGTTCAATTCCATCAATGGTAGAGTTCAGAAAGCTCTTTGATTGTAGGTGAACTATAAATCCCAGCAACTATAACTCCCAAATAACAAAATCAATTTTTTTGAGTGATGGTCACTCCTTGGGTTAGTAGGTGTCTTGTGGTCAAAATTGGCGGCAATTCGCCCAGTGGTTTTTGAGTTCTGTTAATCCCACAAACAAACATTACATTTTTATTTATATAGATAAGATATCTGCAGTGTGCATAGGAATTCATTCATGTTTTTTGTTTTTGTTTTTCCAAATTATAATCAAGTCCTCCAACAGTTTGAAGGACTGTGACCTGGTCCTATGTGTAAAAAGTTTGAGGACCCCTGTTCTAGACATAAATACATGGAACGAATGGATGTGCTTTTTAAAATTTAAGGATCAGAAATAAGTATTAGCTCTCCACTTTTCTTGGGGTTAGAGCAGGCATGGGCAAATCCAGGTGTTTTGTCCTTCAACTCTCACAATTCCTAACAGCTGGTAGGCTGTTAAGAATTGTGGGAGTTGAAGTCCAAAACACCTGGACACCCAAAGTTTGTCCATGTCTGGGTTAGAGATACAGTCACGCTGTGAATGTGGAAAAAACATGCATAGCTCTAGGTCCTCCAAACCATAACACATACAAAAAGGCACCTGTACCACAGTACCAGTTCACGATGCCACGGTGGCACAGGTAGGTAGAGAGAAAGAGGAAAGGATTAGGAGGGCCTCTTTCCCCTTTGCTCTGCCTTTGTCCGCCTCCTCCTGTTGGCACAGAATTTAAGCCAGACCTGTTGTGAAATGGATTATTTGCTCCCTACCTGGCAGCTCAAAGGGGAAAGAGTGGGCTGTGTGTGCCTTCTTGCTAAAATATTCAGAACCATCACACATGGACAAGCTCTTAAATGACGATTTTAAATTATACAGAGTGTAGAAGCCTAGCTGAGGACCTCAGCCCATGAATAGGGTCCATAGAGATGGCCCAAGGAATCAAGATCAATGTTTCTGTTTTTCTTGCCACCTGAGGTTGTTTATGACTAGCAAAAAGCAATCTTTTACTGCTCCCCTGATGCTAGTGACCCAAAGAAGTCTAAGTATCCCAGTTTTGCACATTTTAAAGTTTTATGATCACTTCTTTACAGTGTAGACCAGGCCACAGTGCTCTCTGGATGTAGGTGGACTACAATTTCCAAACTCAAGGTCAATGCCCACCATACCCTTCTAGTGTTTTCTGTTCGTCGTGGGAGTTCTGTGTGCCATATTTGGTTCAATTCCATCATTGGTGGAGTTCAGAATGCTCTTTGATTGTAGGTGAACTATAAATCCCAGTAACTACAACTCGCATATGTCAAGGTCTATTTTCCCCCAAGAGCGCCTCAAGAGCCCCTGGGCAAAATCAACTATACTGCAAATGCTTACTTTGCGTAATGGGTTGAGCCGCCCCTGCCCGTAGTCACCTATGGATGTGAGAGCTAGATTTTGATTTGGGGGGGCTGAGTTTGATTGGGGGGGGGGCTCAGGATCTACCCTAGCAAACCTTTTGTATCATTATCCCAATACCCCCATGCATATGGGATATATTGAGCATGGTGATCAGATCATGATATGAATAAACATAACAGTTTAAATAAGGCCTTCTCGTGGACCACCCTGAGAATTTGGGGGGGGGGGGGCTGAAGCCCCTCAAGCCCCACCCTGGCTATGGGCCTGGTGTAGACTGATCCTGAGAATAGTCTTGAAACTAATTTTACTTTGAAACAGAACTTTCATGTTTGTGACACACTTTTTAGCCATGTATCATTTCGTGACATAGTGATTCAGTTTTACTAGCCAACTGAGGGTTAAATCACTTGGGGGGGAGACGAGTAGGAGAAGCAGCAGTCATGAGGCTTGTTGTTGCGTCTTTTGTGGGTTGTCAGCCTCTCCCCTCCTGAAATCCCCATTGCCGTGGCACTATAAGAGGGTTTTGCAAGACCAGTCACTCTCGTTGCACTGGTGCAGTAATGGTGAGGCTGCAGACCATATTTTAGTTCTTGAGGATCACTGGTGGTCCATGGACCACAGGTTGGGATCTACTGCCTTAGAAGAAGCCAACCTCTTATAAGAGAACAGGACACATCCACAAATTGAAATAACGAAATGTATGGAGTTGTCATGAAAACTCTTAGTTCTGTTTTCAAAAACACACAGTTCTAATGCTTATTTCACATAGACCCAAAGGTATCTTGCTACGTTTGCATCATACACCTCCGCACTAATGCGTCATGACACACAGTTTGGAAAGCTCTGCTTTAGAAGATTGTCTGCTTCTAAAAATAGCTTGGACGGCCATCTGTTGGGGAATATATATTTTAGCAGCGGATTTTGTGCAAAAGCAGAATGTCAAGGCTAGGGAAACCCTGGTACGCCTTTCAAGTTATAATTCTGTTATTCTTGTGTGGTAACTGAAATAAATAAAACCATCTCAGACATCAAACTTAGTCCTTTTCCATTATTATCGCACATGGGATTCAAAAACAAAAGGCTTTAATGAACAGCCTTAGTATTCAGGTGGAAAAATCAGAGTTCAGTGGATCTACATGATTATGGGATATTTATTCATGTTATTTATTTATTCAATTTCTATTCCACTTTCATCCCAATACGGAACTCAAAATTCACTCTCCACATTTGAAGTGCAATCAGCACATTGATGGAGTGACATCCCTACTTTTTGCTCTTGTATGTTTATTCTGCCTTATAGATTCCCTAAATCAGGGCAGAATTACACTTCTTTTAAAGTGTCTTCAAGACGCTTAATGTCAGACAACTTTTGCTTTAATCCTACTGCTGTTCCTCTTTTTCAGTTGCAAAGATCCTTGATATTTTAAGAAGAGAACATTAAAGTAGGTCCATACATATATATATTAAAAATAAAAAATATAATATTTTGTAAAATATGATACACTTTCATGATCAGATAACTTATTGAGAATGCTTTGAATGAAACAACTTTTTCCTGATTCCCACTCACCAACCACTTAAAGAAGAATATCCTGAATTTGTCCCCATACTCCTCTTCAACAGTTAAGGGGCTAAATATGAAGTCTAAACTTCTCACTTAATATGCAGAAATGATCAGAAAACCCATCTTAAGTTCCTCTGTTAGAATCAAGTTCCAAATTGAATTACCAGTAGTTGCCCTAACTAGGTGGACCTATTTAATCAGTGGAATTTACACAAAGTTTTATTTTTTTCATTAATAATAATAATGATGATGAACTTTATTTATGCTCTGCTTTATCTCCCTGGAGGGTGTCAGAGTGGATTACAATACACATATGAGGCAAACATTCAATACCTTTTAGGTAAGGGTAAAGGTAGTCCCCTGACATTAAGTCCAGTCATGTCTGACTCTGGGGTGTGGTGCTCATCTCCATTTCTAAGCCGAAGAGCCAGTGTTGTCCGTAGACACCTCCAAGGTCATGTGGCCGGCATGACTGCATGGAGCGCCGTTACCTTCCCGCTGGAGCGGTACCTATTGATCTACTCACATTTGCATGTTTTCGAACTGCTAGGTTGGCAGAAGCTAGGGCTGACAGCGGAAGCTCACGCCGCTCCCCGGAATTGAACCTGCGACCTTTCAATCAACAAGCTCAGCAGCTCAGTGCTTTAACCCACTGCACCACCGGGGGCTCCTAATACCTTTTACACACAGTTAAACAATGACATGCAACACAGACAAAGGTAAAGGCCTTCCCCCTTTTCCATCCCCAGTGTCTGAAGTAGATGCTCAACTTTGGCCATGGGGAGGTACTGTTGTTCCATTTTTCCTTGCAGAAGAGCTAGTTGTCCATAGACATCTCAGACTGTATTGCCAGCATGTCTGCATATCCCTATGGGGTAGTGGCAAAGATGGCGGACGAAGCAGTTTTCTGATGCTCGTCAGAATTCTGACCTGGTTGGCTGCCTTGGATTGAGCTTATCTCTCCTGCCCAGCGGATGGAAGCCGGGCAGCATAGACCCAAAGACTGAGTCCAAAGGGAGGGTGAGGCACAACGAGGACACCCAACGGAGTTCGGGAGAAAACGCCAGCCACTATTTTAAACATAAGAACCCAAAGAAGAAAAAAAGTAGAACAATCCAAGAAAAAAAGTAAACTAGGGAGGCGGTACCTATTGATCTACTCTCATTGCATGCTTTTGAACTGCTAGGTTGGCAGAAGCTAGAGCTGACAGTCAATAGCTCATCCCGACTCACGGCTTTGGACTGCCAACCTTCTGGTCAGCAGCTTTCCTGCAGCTAGTGGTTTAACTCGCTGTACTACCGAGGCTCCATTCACCAATTCAGTTCATGTACTCTACTTGGAAGTGTATGGAAAAACACATTACACGATTTACACGATACTACCTATTCATATATCTAGTCTACTTGTCTTATAGATCTGAACATGTTTTTTTCTGACTTGATTGGCACTCTGCTTCTTTTCCTTTGGCTATTAATATATATATCAGTGATTGGTTGGGGGGGGCCCAAAATACCGTTTGCTTACTGTTGAAAATTACCTAGGGCCGCCTCTGGCTCTACTGCTGTATAAAGTAAGACCACATGTCCATATATCACCATTAATGTTCTCTTTGTTGTTTGGCAGATTAAGACCAGGGAGCCAAGATGGATCTTTTCGACCCTCAGATGTTAGGCGTGATGGTTTTTGGAGGATTTATGGTGGTCTCAGCCATTGGGATATTTCTGGTGTCCACCTTTTCTATGAAAGAGACCTCTTATGAAGAAGCTTTGGCAAAGCAACGGAAAGAGCTGGAGAAAGCCAGTCAGCAGAAGGTGGAGAAGAAAAAGAAAGAGAAGCCTGCTGAGAAGAAAGGAAAGGCCAAAAAAAGGGAGGAGAAACCTAATGGAGGAATACCTGAGCCAGACCTGGTTCTGGATGATTCTGACAGCAATAAAGATTTAAGCCCTGAACCGGTTATGGTCATTGAACCAACCGATTTTCAATCACCTATCGTGCCAGTTTCAGCTCCTTCCCAAGCAAAAGAGAAGCCAGTCCCGTCTCCTAAAGACAAGAAAAAGAAGGAAAAGAAGGCGGGGAAGGATGAGTTGACTTCTAGCCAAGGAATTTCTTCCCTGCCAACTACTTCCGCAGGAGATCCTATTCTTGATGTTGCTCCCAAAGAGGTGGCAGCAAGTATTCTTCCACCAGTTGGCACTCTGCCAAACGCTCCTTTAACTAACGCAGCTGCTCCAAAAAAACCAGAAGTGCTGGGAAGCCAAGAGGAACGAAAGCATGATGCAGTTTCTAAGAAAAAGGCAATGGCTAAAAAGAAGAAAGAATCAAGTAAGTCAGCTGCTGAAAGTATTGTCTTGAACTTGTTATGGAGCACCTACATTGATTTTATTTATACCATTTAGACTACTGGTTCCCAACATGGGGCAATTTGATTTTTAAGGGGAGCCATTTGAGAATGAGTTATTAAAGGTGAATTTGTTTTTTTGCATTTCTTACACCCTGTAACAAAATTTGAAAAAAATCTGTTCCTGCTTTGAAAGTGTTATTCCAGTCTAATTTTATAGTACTTGCTTTGAAAGTAGTTGTTATGCTCCATAAACTTTTGTTTTTGTGGTTGCCACAAACTATGTTGAATTGGTTGAAACTCCATGAGATATTCATTGAAAAACAATAGCAAAATTTGCTGCAGGAAAATGTTTTCCATGTTTTTATGATAGAACCAATTAGGAAATGACATTTATGATTCAAGAACAAACATCATGTTGCATAGTGTTATGGTTCTGGCAGCCTCATATACAGTATATCAATATACAGTATATTGTGACATACACATTTTAAAAATTAAAATCAGAATTTAGATGGTGGTCAGCTGGTGACAATAGAGAATGAGAAAGCCCACTCATAGAGAGGAAGTAGTGATGAGAACATAGAGTTCACTAGAGTTCCTCCAGGTGTTTTGGACTTGAGCTCCCAGAAATCCCAGCCAGCTTACCAGTTAGAAACTGTTGAAGCTGAAGTCCAAATATCTGGAGGATCACAGTTAGAGAAACATTGGACTAGAGTCGTGAGCTCAGAGAAAGGAGTCTGCTTTCATACCAAACACCCCGTTCCTCTCAGTGTGTTTTTAACATTACAAGTGACACGAAATATATAAAAATATCTTTTCATGAATGCCCTGTTATCTGGAAGCTTGTTTACACCAAGTTAATGGCCTTTTAGGCTTCCTCCACATTAATTAGTGTTCACTTTTTCAATAATAAGAATTATATCATTGGGGCAGGATCAGGATTTTAGAGATACTTAGGTGGAACATGGCCAAAAAAAGTTAGAAACCATAGATTTAGACCTTCCTTTCTGCTTTTCTTTACCTTTTTCTAGTGATGGATACCTAATGAGGATGATACTGCTTAAAATCATTTCTAGTTGCTCTAATTTATAATTTGTGGGGTCCAACATAGTGTTAGGTGTGGTAGATAGAATTGGTCAGTGGTTCTACACCTGTGGGTCCCCAGATGTTTTGGCCTTTAACTCCTAGAAATCCTAACAGCTGGTAAATTGCCTGGGATTTCCGGGAGTTGTAGGCCAAAATACCTGGGGACCCACAGGTTGAGAACCACTGGAATATGTGATGATGGTTTCAGAACGTCCCTCTCTGCATCCAGTAAATTGAAGGGGATGGTTATAGGTATTATGATAGAAGGGAATCCTCACATTTTGGCATTGAGAACCAGAAATAATTTACCAGAACTCTCCTTCCCCGGCTGAATTTCAGCAGTTCTGGAAGTGGAGTGGGACCATGAGCAGTTCAAGACCCCAAGACGGGGTTCTTAACCTATGGATCCCCAGATGTTTTGGCCCTCAACTCTCAGAAATCCTAACCTCTGGTAAACTGACCGGGATTTCTGGGAGTTGTAGGCCAAAACACTTGGGGACCCACAGGTTGAGAACCACTGCCCTAAGACCTCTGGTATGCCGGATTCAGGCCATTTAGGGCCCTTCCACACAGCCCTATATCTCAGAATATCAAGGCAGAAAATCCCACAATATCTGCTTTGAACTAGGTTATCTGAGTCCACACTGCCATATATTCCAGTTCAAACACAAAATGTGGGATTTTCTGCCTTGATACTCTGGGATATAGAGTTGTGTAGAAGGGCCCCTAGGTATATAGGTCATTATCAGCAATGTAGGTCAGGTCTCGAACGCAATAGTTAATATACAGTCTGAAAAATAATCTACTAGTCTGTATGTCCACTAGTACAAAGAAACTTCAAATATGACAGATTCTCCCATATTTCTGTGAGAAATCTAGAACTCCTTCCTCACAGCTGAATAAAATCCCACATTATCTGCTTTGAACTGGAATATATGGCAGTGTGGACTCAGATAAACCCAGTTCAAAGCAGATATTGTGGATTATCTGCCTTGATATTCTGGGTTATATGGCTATGTGAAAGGGCCCTAGAAGAATAAATATTTGTGTCAGCTATTTCTTATATCTTCACCCATTGATTTCAGCGAGAGAAAATGAAACCTGTATTGAATTTTCCCACTAAATTTAAAGGCATTTTAAAACTGCTTACCTTTGGCAACAATATGCCATTGAGCTACATGACTTTTTATATATTGTTCAATGTCGGTTACAACTGAATCAGATAGATTTACTGGTAGCAGATAGCGATTTGTGGTATATCAGTAATTATTTCCTTCTTTAAACAGTCAGTTGTGACCTCAAAAAGTTCTTTGACTTTGGCTGCTAACACCAAGGTTCGGAGTGTAAAAGGAGTTGATTTTGTTTGTGAAAATATTTGCGTGTGTTTCTACTTCTTTTGAAATGGGAAAAGGTCATTGTAAGGTTGAGCATGTGCAGTTCTGTTTCTCAGTTTTCTCATTTGTGTTAGGAAAATTGTCATGTGTCAAGTAGACTGGTGTTCAGAAACATTACATGCTATATCCCAGATTCCCCAGCTTGAAGCTCTTTTTTTGCAGGTTTTGGACTATAATTGCTACAATTCCTGACAATTGGCCATATAAATGAAAGTTGATGTACAAAGCATCTGGATGGTACCAGATGAGAGCATGAAACTTCTGGGAACATCTAGAGGACCATATCTTTTAAGGACCATCTCATATTGAGCACATTCAGCTTTGCCTTGATGTACTGGTTATTTGTGTGTATTTTAGTGATGAGGATGGTCATTCAGATATTCAATCTCCCAAATACATTCTGATGTCATAGGAAAATTGTCACTCTAAAGATATATTTATTATTCCTTGTCCTCTTCGTTAGTAAGCCTTTCAAATAATAAGTTTTGTTGGAACCATAATAATTTCTTCTGAGATGTTTTATGCTCAAGTGAGATGCTTTATGCTCATGTTTCAATGCTCATATAAATGTGCCTTCAAGCTGTTTCTGATTTATGGTGACACTAAGGCAAGCCTATCACATAATTCCTTGGCAAGATTTATATAGTGTTTGGGGGGGGGGGGGTCCTCTGAGGATAAGAGTGTGTGGCTTGCTAAATTTACCCAGTTGAATAACTGTTTTTTAAATGTCTGTGTTTGCTTTTAATAGGATTTATGTTCATGTTTTATAGTGTTTATTTTTATATTTTTTTTGTTATTCGGCAATTGAATATTTTGCCTATGTTGGAAACCGCCCTGAGTCCTCTCGGGGAGATAAAGCAGTATACAAATAAAGGTTTTTTTATATATATAGTATTTATATATCATGATCAGTGGGAAATTCAAGTCTCCAGAGGCAAATAAATTCCATCCAAGGGTTTTGAAAGAACTGGCAGACATAATTTCAGAAACACTCATAAACACATGTTTGAGAATCCCTAGAAAACCGGAGAAGTGCCAACAGACTGAACGAGGGCAATTGCCTCCACCTTCAAAACGGGAAAAAAGAGAACCCAAACAATTACCACCAAGTCAGGCTGGCATCAATACCAGGAAAGATTTTAGAGCAGATTATTGTACTGTATAGATAATCTGTAAGCACTTAAAAAGGAATGCCATGCTCATTAAAATTCAGTATGAGTTTCTCACAAACAACTCATGTTAGATTAATCTTATCTCTTTTTTGAGAGAGTTATGAGCTTGCTAAATGAAGGGAATGCTAAGGGTGTAACATACCTTGATTTCAATAAGTCTCCCACGATATTCTTACAAATAATAGAATTTTAAGTGGATTAGTAATTGATTGAACAATCAAATCCAAAGGGTGCTTGCCAAAGGCTCCTATTCATCTTGGAGCAGTGGCTCACAACCTTTTTTTGACCAAGGGACCACTCTTCAACATTAGTACCAAAAGTGTTACAAATAAATTTTTGGTCAACTTTAGATTCCGATTGGTTATTTGGGGTGCATTGGATAGACCACATAGAATCATAGAGTTGGAAGAGACCTCATGGGCCATCCAGTCCACATCAGCTCTAGTTTCTGATACAGAACATATGCCATCCAGTAGTCGCCACCTGCTCGGCCACAGAAAAGCATATTTAATAAGCCTTGGCACTATAAAAGGGTTTCGCAAGACCAGTCACTCTTGTTGCAACAGTGTAATAACAGTGAAGCCGCAGACCATATTTTAGTTCTTGTGGACCACTGGTGGTCCATGGACCACAGGTTGGGAACCACTGTTCTGGAGAGAAGTGACCAGGTTTTGTCCTAGACTCAATGTTCAACACCTTTATCGGTGACTTGGATGATGAAATAGCTTGCTTATAAAATTTGCAGATGACACCAAATTGGGAGGTACTGCTAATATCCCAGAGGACAGGATCAGAACCCAAAATGGCTTCCTTGATTGGATTTACCTGTAAGGCGTTCTCCCTTTTTTCCTTTTGCATATTATCTTTTCCATTGAGTTCTGTCTTCTCATGATAGGTTCAAAAAATGACACTCAGTTTAGCCATCTTGGCTTTTAGGCTCAGGCTTGATTTGTTCTAGGACCGATTTATTTCTCGTTTTAGTAGTCTACGGTATCTACAAAACTCTCCTCTGGCACCACATTTCAAATGAATCTTTTCTTATCTGCTTCTTATCTGCATATTGGAAATATGAGTGGCATGGACAATATATTCTCCATTTTGTTTTATGATAGAGCCAAAGTACAGGAAAGCTTAAACCATGGTATTTCGATGTCTTTGTTATTTACTATTTAACATTACAGAAATAATCTTACCTGCCCTTAGAAGGCTACACCTTAAATGGTAGTGTTTTTATATTACCAGCAAGAAACATTATGAGCTCCCATTAGTTTTTAAAAACTATTTGGGATAGAAGTCACAAAGACTTCTTAACCTAACTTTAAAATGTTTCCCAAAAGATGCATTGTGTGTATATGCCTTCAAGCCATGGGTTGCCAGTCAGGTCAAGTGGAATAAATAATTCAGTGAGAATAACATCCAATCGATGAGTGAAATAAACTTACTACTACAAGTCCAACATTACTTCTGTTTCTTTTGCCCTTTTCTCATGCTTTGTTTTTTCTCTCAAAACTATAGAAAAGGATGCTGAGGGACCCACAGAAGAGCATAGAGAAGGAGGAACAGGTGTGGAAAGCAAAGCCAGCAGCACCAAAAGAAGCACTTCAGAAGGTAATAGTGTGTAGAAGAGATAGAGAATTGCAGAGCTGGCAGGGGGCATTTTCAATTTGTTTTCGAACACCTACTTCTCCTTAGCAATCATTACAATCATACACTTTTCTCAGACTGCTAGTCACTTAAATTGATTTAACTCAGGGAATATTCAGAGGTGCTTTAACCAGCTCTTTCCTCTGAGATAAAACACTTGATACTTTTTGATAGTCTCCCATTCAAGACTTAAACAGGGCTGACTCTGCTTATCTTCCAAACTCATATGACATCTAGTGCCTTTAGTGAATTTAAGTTAAAAAAACAAAAACAAAACAAAACGCTACAAATTAGAGAAATTGGAGGACAGTTTAACTATGGTAAAGTCTACCTGGAGGTAAAGGCTGGCAATAACGATCAAATTTCTGTTTTAACTCCCTTTAAATGAACAGTCTGATATGTTTTCTTTTTCAAAATGGACACGGACCATTCTTAGGATGCCAAGTTTCAGATTAAATAGCTAAGCCTTTTTCTCAGTTTAAGATACAGATACTGCTGTTTACCAGATTTCTAGTTATAATTGTGGCAGTCACTCATTTTTAACATAGACTGCAACCCTGTTATTCATACAGTTGATGATATAGTTATGCCACAGTTAACAAAGTTGATGTTTTCCTGCATGTACTTTGGCAACAGAGGCAGAAATAACATGGAAGGAATGGAGATAGGTTCCTACTCCACAAAAAATGTGTCCTCAACAGGTTCCTGTTAACCAATTTATTTGAGGATATAAAGAGGAGAGCCCACCACCTCCCTTGGCAATTGTTTCCCCTGCTGAACTGCATGGCTTCCTTCTAATATTGAATAGAAATTTATTCTCTTGTAACTTAAAATTGTTAGTCCTGGGCCTATCCTCTGGGCCCCTTCTACACTGCCCTATAATCCAGATTATTGAAGCAGATAATCCACACGATCTACTTTGAACTGGATTATATGAGTCTACACTGCCATATAATCAAGTTCAAAGCCGATAATTTGGATTTTATATAGCAGAGTCAAAGGGACCGGGGCAGCCCTTGGGGTATTTAAAGTGGGCAGGTGTGTCAACCGTTGATCTTCTCAGCAAAAAAATGAAAATGCCTAGTTTCTTCAGTCTCTACTCATACATTTTATTCTCTGTATTGCTGATCCTCCTTATTGTCCTTCTCTGAACTTGCACCAGCTGTATTTTAAATATATATATTCCTTAACATGTACCTTATATACTCAAGTATATGTCTAGAAAGTTTAGTCAAAAAAATCAACCCAAAAAGGCTGGATCGGCATTAGTGGTTTCTCCTCTCTGGAGGATGACCCTTGACTTGTTCATGGGTGATATTAAAATTCATAAGTTTTGGTCCCAAAACCTGCCCTTGACTTAGACATGAAGTCGACTTTTACATGAGTATATATGCTAATTTCAAATATTGTTAATTCTTTTAAAAATAAAGCCTTGGCATCTGTTTGCTATAAAAATAGGACTAACCTGCTACATAAACAACTCCTCCTTGGTCCCATAATTAGGTTGGTGGTTTCTCTGCCCTCTTACTTAGGAGGGGTAGGGTTGTGGGAATAGATTCTGCTGTGTTTTGGGGCACCCCAGTGGCAGAGCTCTCATATTGCAAGTTCACTTATCTTCTCAACTCTGACTATCTAATTGGTTACAGCAAAAATTATTACAATAGGGTATGTGTGTGTGTGTATACACAAACACACACACACAGAGCAATGCCTGCATGAGTACGCAAGGTACCATATTTCTTCAATTGTAAGATACCATTGATTGTAAGATTTCAGTACTACTACTGCCACCACCACCAAAAACACATAAGATACACCTGTAGTTCTAAGGCCCCTTCCACACAACTGAATAAAATCCCACATTATCTGCTTTGAACTGGAGCCCCTGGTAGCGCAATAGGTTAAACCCTTGTGCTGGCAGGACTGAAGACCCACAGGTTGGAGGCTCGAATCTGGGGAGATGGGGTTGATCTCCCTCTGTCAGCTCCAGCTCGCCATGCGGGAACATGAGAAAAGCCTCCCATAAGGATGGTAAAACATCAAAACATCAGGGCGTCCCCTGGGCAACATCCTTGCAGATTGCCAATTCTCTCACACCAGAAACGACTTGCAGTTTCTCAAGTCACTCCTGAAATTTAAAAAAATCTGCTTTGAACTGGCATATATGGCAGTGTGGACTCAGATAACCCAGTTCAAAGCAGATATTGTGGGATTTTTTGTCTTGATATTCTGGGTTATATGGCTGTGTGGAAGGGCCCTAAGATGCACCCCATCTTAGAGATGTTTATATAGGAAGAAAGTGTGTCATAGAACTGAAGAAATAAAGTAATAAAGTTTTATTGTGCTTATTAAAGATCTTTTTCTTTATTGGCTATAAAGAAAAAGATCCCAACCTGAACATTGCATTTGCAGGTTGGGAAATCTTTAGCAAGAATTTGCTTGAGTAAATCTGCAAACAAAAATGAGCACAGAAAAAAAATTCTCATCATTTCAGAATTTTAAAATTTACTTTAGATGGTGACTTCTATTCCCGCTTCTCTTTGTAGGTACCACACATGCTGAAAGTGAGTTTTCTCTGCCATTCAAAACCTTAATTTCCATAGTCAGCAGCATGGTTTTTGGTGATGGTGAGGCCCAGCAACTGATGGAAGTCCTGACCGAGAAAGCAGGAGGTGCTCAGAATCCATGGCTTATGGTAGGGACATCTTTTGATATTTAATGCTCAGGTGTGAATATTTAATTTCCCCTTGCCATAAATATATCGCAATTGAAGACAAATGTGAAAAGGTAGTGCCAGAGGGAAGAGAAAATTGCTTACTTATCATGCTTTGATGAAATAAGATAATACCTCTGCATCAGGCAGAGCTGTTTCCGGACCCTATCATACTATACTGTTATAGTGCTATAGTATGACAAGGAAATACATTTACTTGTGAACATTATTATTACTACACATAAATGGTTCAATACAGAGCAAGATGTTTACACTTCTGAATACTTTTGTTAAGGGAAAAGGCAGTTCTAGCCACCAAGAAAGCGCTCTCTTGCATTCCCACCAACTTTGCTTGCGACAGAGGTGGGACGGAGAGGAGGGCTTTTCACATTTTTATGAATAGATAGAATTGGTGTCATCACAGTAACAGAAATAAACAGCTAAAAGAATAGAGGCAGCTAGAAATAACCTTGATTACTTTCACATTTTGCATAGCACAAAATGCAAGATCAGCCATTATGCAAATGAAAATGCCAATATGTTATCTTCTCCCTCACTTGGTGATTTTAGGAGATATATTCTATAATAGATATTGATGTGCCTACTAGAGATTTTATAGTTGGACAATTATAAATCACCAACTTTGTACAGCTCATCATATTACTTGCAAGTTATACTTGTCTCTATAAAAATAATATATTGTTTTGTTTTTTAAAATAGTATAATAAGTTGTAATTCCTAACAGAATTTTACTTCATCAGGGATTAGTGGTTCTCAACCTGGGGTCCCCAGATGTTTTTGGCCTACAACTCCCAGAAATCCCAGCCACTTTACCAGCTGTTAGGATTTCTGGGAGTTGAAAGCCAAAAACATCTGGGGACCCCAGGTTGAGAACCACTGGATTAGGGTTTAAATCTCCAATTACTACTGTATGTCTCATGTTGGAAAATTTGATGTGCTGATCCAAAAGGGTATCATCTTAATTTTATGGCTGGTCTGGCAATTACTGCCCCTTATCCACTGCCATATAATCCAGATTATCAAAGCAGATAACCCACATTATCTGCCTTGAACCAGTTCATCTGAGTCTACACTGCCATATAATCCAGTTCAAAGCAGATAATCTGGATTTTATATGGCCGCATAGAAGGGGCTTGAATCTACACTGCCATATAATCCAATTCAAAGCAGATAATCTAGATTTTATATGGCAGTGTAGAAAGGGCCTCAGATAGATTCCCAGAATATATTCCTACTGTTTCTCCCTTCTCTTAGTTTTACCCAAAAGATCTGAAAGTGGCTTTTTGGCACATAATGAGGAGGAACAAATATATATTTAATGATTCCGTCCACTAATGTGGGGAGCATTAAGGGGCCTAAAGTCAGTCAATATTCCTAAATAGGATTGTCTGTAAGATACAGTTCAAACAAGCACAAAAACAGTGTCCAGTAAACCTGTTAGTGAACACCTTGGTTGTCTTAGACATGCTGTCACATGAATCTGAATCACTTCCTTCACTGCCAAATTCTTAATTTTATTTCTAATAATTGGTTCTTATAGGCCACTCAGAAAAGTGACCCTGTTGCTGTGCTGAAACGACAACTAGAGGAAAGAGAGAAGCTGCTTGCTATGGAGCAAGAAAATGCAACTGCTGCAAAGGCGAAGTTGAGAGAACTTACAAAGGTAAATTTGTGAAGCTGAAAGGCCTCAGAAGTGGAACTTGGCATGCTCAGAATGAACATTTTGAATCCCATTACCTTACAGTGCTTTGTGTATTCATTTCCGTACTCCTCAAAGCATTTGATGACAATATGGACACGTATTCCCTTCTTAAACACAAGGGAGTGTTTTGTTAGCTCTTTAAATTTTATTTGCTCTTTAAGTTTCATTTTCAAGCCCCAGGAGGCAAGATTTGTACTTCCTTAAGGAGGCTTTGAGCCCTTCCACACAGCCCTATACCCCAGGATATCAAGACAGAAAATCCCACAATATCTGCTTTGAAGTGGGTTATCTGAGTCCATACTCAAATAATGTGGGATTTTCTGCCTTTATATTCTGGGGGGCTTGAGGGGCTTCAGCCCCCCCCCCCCCCCCAATTCTCAGGGTGGTCCACGAGAAGGCCTTACTGGTATATTATTTAAACTGTTATGTTTATTCATATCATGATCTGATCACCATGCTCAATATATCCCATATGCATGGGGGTATTGGGATAACGATAAAAGGTTTCTAGGGTAGATCCTCTCTCACTCGGACTCAGCCAAATGAAAATTCTGGCTACGGGCCTGTGCTCCTCCCTAAGCAAATCGCAATACTAGGAGACAGCCCTACTGCCTCCATACCTGCAAAGATCTGGATCTTCCAGTAAGATCAGAACCTTTGCAAGTATTGTTTAAACCAGGAGTAAACCTGGGCTCCTTCCACACAGCCATATAACCCAGAATATCAAGTTGGAAAACCCCATTATCTGCTTTGAACTGGAATATATGGCAGTGTGGTCTCAGATAACCTACCTCAAATCAGATATTGTGGGGGTTTTCTGCCTTGATATTCTGGGTTATATAGCTGTGTGGAAGGGCACATGAACAGGTTGAGATGGAGTAGCCTGGAGTGTAATTTGGAAGCCCCAGGTCCTGAAAATGGGGTCTAAATTTTCAAGTGCTAGAAGTGCTTAGAATTGGACTTGAGGATAGGGATGCAGGCTAATCCTGCAACGTCTGTCCCCACAAAATTAGTGGGTAAGTGTGTGTGTGTGTGTATGTGTCCCCACATGCATTTCTCCTACATGTTGACCTTATAAAATATGGCAGAATAACAAGCCAGTGAGTAGGTCAAAAGCTGGGTTGCAGCTAAACATCAAAAAAACCAAGATTATGGCAACAAGAATGATTGACAACTGGAAAATAGAGGGAGAAAATGTGGAGGCCGTGACAGACTTTGTATTTCTAGGTGCAAAGATTACTGCAGATGCAGACTGTGGCCAGGAAATCAGAAGACGCTGGGAGGAGAGCAATGTCCAGTCTCGATAAAATAGTAAAGAGTAGAGACATCAGACTGGCAACAAAGATCCGCCTAGTCAAAGCCATGGTATTCCCTGTAGTAACCTACGGATGTGAGAGCTGGACCTTAGGGAAGGCTGAGCGAAGGAAGATGGATGCTTTTGAACTGTGGTGTTGGAGGAAAGTTCTGAGAGTGCCTTGGACTGCGAGAAGATCCAACCAGTCCATCCTCCAGGAAATAAAGCCCGACTGCTCACTGGAGGGAAGGATACTAGAGACAAAGTTGAAGTACTTTGGCCACATCATGAGGAGACAGCAAAGCCTAGAGAAGACAATTATGCTGGGGGAAAGTGGAAGGCAAAAGGAAGAGGGGCCGACCAAGGGCAAGATGGATGGATGGCATCCTTGAAGTGACTGGACTGACCTTGAAGGAGCTGGGGGTGGTGACAGCCGAGAGGGAGCTCTGGCGTGGGCTGGTCCATGAGGTCACGAAGAGTCGGAGACGACTGAACGAATGAACAACAACAACAAAGGTCTTTGGCTGTTCATAATAGCATTGTATTACATATGTGATTCAGACCATGTTCATAATATATGTTTTTTAACCTGACTCTTCTTATCAAATCTTCTTAATTACAAATGCCTTATCTTGAAGGATCTTACCTCTGAGAAGGCAAAGATGACCACACTTGAGAGTAAATGGAAGGAGCAACTGCAGACACATGAGCAAGAGATGTCTGCTATCCAAGCCCGTATGCAGGCCAGTTATCAAGATCATCAAACTGAGACCCAGCAGCTGCAAGAAAAGGTAGAGGAAGTGATTGCACTTTGTTTGATACTGGCTTTTTGTATCTCTTTGCATTGTAAAGATATGCATTCACGTCACGCTTTATTTAGGGAGAACATGATATGTCTGTTGACTGGGTACATTGTGTAATAGAGCACTATATGATTAAATAATGAAAAATGTAAATATTAAAAATATCCAGTTTTCAAACAAAGTTCATACAAAAAGTTTGCAATTCTATTAAGAAATAAGCTATTTTATTTAGTCTTTCGGAGAAAACCATGCTGTCCTTCAGCAATTACAGTATTTTCCCTATGTGTTTACAAACAGACTGTAATGATATATTCTCAAACTTATTCTGTTATATTGCCAATGTGAAAGGTGAATAGTTGGCTGTGTCCTTTCCAATTCAACTTTTATCGGAAGAGAGCAATAACATTCACCCATTCTCATGTTCTCTAGATCTCCAAAAATCCTCCTGTTTCCCTGTATAGACATTGATTCTGAGATTACCTTAGCAAGCTTTTTTAGTATCCTTGGATACAATTCATCTCATCCTACTCATATCCATTTAGAGTAGCAAATTCTAATTCAAGAGAAATGTCTCTTAGGCCCCTTCTACACTGCCATATAAAAATCTTGATTATTTGCTTTGAACTGGATTATATGGTAGTGTAGACTCATATAATCCAGTTCCAAGCCAATCATGTGGATTATCTGCTTTAATAATCTGGATTATACGGCAGTGTAGAGGAGACCTTACATTCAGGCCCCATATGAAGCATTTTCAAAATGCAGCCTAATTACATTGAACTGGATTATATTAGTCTACACTGCCATATAATCCAGTTCAATGCAGTTAAACTGCATTTCGAAACTGCATTATATGGAAGTATAGATGAGGCCTCAAGTGAAAGCCACATATTGACTTACCTAACATTTTGATCTCTTATGACAGGATAAAATAGCATCTGGTGTATGATATTCTTTATTGATTTCCAGATTCGAACTCTACAAGAACAGCTGGAGAATGGGCCTAACACCCAACTTGCTCGCTTGCAGCAAGAAAATTCCATTCTCAGAGATGCTTTAAATCAAGCCACAAGCCAGACTGAAAGCAAGTAAGATGAAGGATATTTTAGTTATTATGGAATTATGAGATTGTATTGAGGATAGGAAAACATGTGCCTGCTTAAGATTCCTACAGGAAAGTTGAAACTGATTGCGCAAACCACTTGCTAAATAAAGAGTAGAAGTGAAAGCCCAGAGAAAAACTTGACCTTAGTTGGAGTTCTCTGCCTTGCTTTTTAGGTCCTCTGTACTAGAAGACCTAGAAAGAGAGATGTTCTCTCAAGAAAAAGAAAGCAAAGTTTAATGGGTAGCTTTTGATTTTCAGGGATGTCTAGTGCTTCTAATTCCAGTGAATGTGGAGGGTTGACTGTAAACAATAATAGGAAATGATGCAGAAATTAGCCACCACCTTTTATCTCACTGCCATATAAATGATGTTATGTTTCTTGCATTTTTGTTATTCAGGCAAAATGCTGAACTGGCAAAACTTCGTCAGGAATGTAGCAGACTAAGCAAAGAGCTGACTGACAAGTTAGAAATGTTACAGCAGGTAGAAGATCAGAAAAAGGCCATAGAAATGAAAGCTGTTGCCTTTGAAGAGCAAATCTGTCAGCTCCAGGTAAGTGGCATTCTGTATTTGTATGTGCTAATTAAAAAATCTTTTTACATCCAGCTAGCCCTCTTTTCTTCCTTGTCTTCTAGTTAGCTGCAGTTTTTTACGCATCCATGGGAGATTGCTAGATTGGAATAAAATGTTGGTTGAAAGATATTAAACTGTTTTTTTAGTGGGTGTGGCCACCTGGTGCCACCCCAAGTTAAATCGCTGAGCTGCTGAATTTGCTGACCGAAAGATTGTCAGTTCAAATCCAGGGAGCGGGATGATATCACGCTGTTAGGCCCAGCTTCTGCCAACCTAGCAATTCGAAAACATGCAAATGTGAGTAGATTAATAGCTATTGCCTTGGCGGGAAGGTAATAGCGCTTCATGCAATCATGCTGGCCACATGACCTTGGAGGTGTCTACGGATAAAGCTGGCTCTTCGGCTTAGAAATGGGGATGAGCACCACCTAAGACCAAACATTCAACGTATGGAAACATCGTATTCAATGTATGGAATCTAGTGTAAGTTATACAGCATGCAGTTCTCTAAAAAAAATATTTATCTTATATGGTACAAACAACGAACTCTTACAGCAAGATATACAGCTGTTTTAAGGTTCTTCTGATCATAAATTTGTCAATAACAATACACAGTTTGTGAATCTTTTTCAAGTCTCTTAATCCAGAGTTTCTTGATTTAAGTAAAGTTTGTCCACGGCAACACACAGTTCATAGTCCTTTTTTTTTCTTTCAAAATCACAGTTTTTCAAGCACAGTTCATCCGTCCTCTTTCAAAATCCTTTTTCAAAATCACAGTTCGTCAACCACAACCGGTTTCGACTATATATAGTCTTTTTCAGGTGGTAGTAATAAGTTTTTTTAAAGGGAACACATTAAGTGGCTAAACATAGTAAGGAATGCAATTATCAAAAGTAAAGAAACATATACAACTAGAATCAAAATACTCATATAGGTTCTCCTGCAAGGTGCTCTGCTGTATAACTTACACTAGATTCCATACATTGAATACGTTGTTTCCATACGTTGAATGATTGGTCTTAGGGACCTTTTGCCTTTTGCATTTCAGGGAACCCTTGCTCTCTATTTTTTGATGAGCACCACCTCCCAGAGTTGTGTGACTAAACTTAATGTCAAGGGGAAACTTTTACCTTTACCAGAAATCCATCCCGATGCTTTCCAAGTTGTTTTGCTTCTGATACAATATAGTATATTAAAGAAGTAATGTCCAGGAGCAGACCCACTTTGTTAAATGAGGCGTACTGGTTTCAATTAATGTGCCAGAAAGTTGCAGCAGTTGTTGCTCCTCAGTGAAATTGAAGACATTTCATTGAAGACTAATGTAGTCAGCTATGAAACCATCCTTGTTTTTTGACTGTTTTGGAAGGAACAGGAAAGGAATTGTGAAGACAACAATGCCATCTTGTGATGTGCTAGAAGTTATGTGGCTTTTAAAAATTGGTCCTGCGCTTATATGCCTGCTTTTGTCTTCCAGCTTAATTTTCCCCCATCTCCTCCATGCAGATATCCCAGAAAGAAAAAGAGGCCCCGCTTCAGAAGAGCTTGGATGAGATCAGCGAAGAGCTCTGTAAATGTCGGGCCAGGTATCAAAGCTTGCAGGAAGAGCTGGAAAAGGCGAAAGAGGAGCAGCCCAGTTTTTCTGGTGAGGTCACATTGTGCACGTGAAAGTACAAGGATGGAGGCCATCCGCTTGTCCCATCCTCAGATATTTAAGCCCTTGATCCTCAGTTGGTTTTTAATAAGTACTGCCTTTGGCTCCACCTAAAATCAGTATTTTCTCCATTTTCCACTCTATAGAAATCCAATCTAAACTGCAGTGCTCTGAAACAGAAGTGAAGAGAAAAGCAGAAGAATTGAATAATTTAGAGATTAAGCTAGCAGAAATCACCACTCAAAATTCACAACTTACAGAGAAGATTCAATCATTGGAAGCCCTCCTTGAGGCAAACCAAACGAGAGAAAAGGAAAAGAGCAGAGATGGACAGGTCAGCTTCTTGCAACAGACTTTCTGGGAAGCCTGTGCTTTTTTTGTGTGAACCTTTCTCTCATTCAGTGGGATTTGATTCCTTATGCTGCCAACATTTAGCAATGTTGGCAGCGTTATTTGATCTGGTGGATGCTCAATTTTGGATACAAGGGACTGCTTTAGAAAGAGTAATGCAACTGCCTTTTCCGTCTCTCCTCCCCTCTTCCTATTTTCAGGATGGAGATCAAAAGGAAAGCAGTCTACTGCAGTTAAGGTGAGCTTGGTGAGGTTTAACACTGCTAAACCCCTTCTGTTAAGACAAGAGCAGTCTTACCTTGTGCTCTTGGCTTACCGATTCCCTTTCTGTTACAGACTCCATGAATCATCCACAGAGATCTCCACTGCAAAGGAGAACATTGCAACACTAACAGAAACAGTAGAACAGTTGAAATTAAAAAACAATGTGAGTAACTCTGAAGGCACATGCAAGTTAAAGTAATTGCACAGGTGCCAGGATTTTGTGTATTAAATAATAGCTGAACTTTCTGCTCAATGATTCCGTATCATTCCTTGAACGGGAATTATTATTTGGTGGAGATGTAGGAATGACTACTGCTTCTGAAGTATTGTTCCTTACAGGGTTTGCCTGGCTGAGCCTTTTTTGGCTGCCCAGGACTTTAGCACTCCAGCAAAGGATCACTACCTTGTCGTGGCGCAAGATTATGGCAACCAGACTGATTGATAACTGGCAAATAGAGGGAGAAAACATGTAGGCAGTGACAGACTTTGTATTTCTTGGTTCAAAGATTACTGCAGATGCAGACTGCAGCCAGGAAATCAGAAGATGTCTAGTTCTTGTAAGAAGAGCAATGACTAATCTCGATAAAATAGTGAAGAGTAGAGACATCACATTGGCAACGAAGATCCGCATAGTAAAAGCAATGGTATTCCCCATAGTCACCTATGGATGTGACAGCTGGACCATAGGGAAGGCTGAGTGAAGGAAGATAGACGCTTTTGAACTGTGGTGTTGGAGGAAAGCTCTGAGAGTGCCTTGGACTGCGAGAAGATCCAACCAGTCCATACTTCAGGAAATAAGGCCCGACTGCTCATTGGAGGGAAGGATATTAGAGGCAAAGATGAAGTACTTTGGCCACATCATGAGGAGACAGGAAAGCTTGGAGAAGAGAATGATGCTGAGGAAAATGGAAGGAAAAAGGAAGAGGGGCCGACCAAGGGCGAGATGGATGGACGGTATCCTTGAAGTACTGGACTGACCTTGAAGGAGCTGGGGGTGGTGATGGCCGACAGGGAGCTCTGGTGTGGGCTGGTCCATGAGGTCATGAAGAGTCGGAAGCGATTGAACGAAGAAACAACAGCAGGCCTTTAGCCCACCTGTAATTCACAAGAACTATGTAATACATATTGGGCGAGTGGACTTAATGACAAAAGACCCTCTTTAAAAATGTACAGCAGAGCAACTCAGCAGCATGATCCAGTGCCAGTAGCCCAAAGTGATAAAAGAACAAAAAGACACAGATCACTGTTATATCTTCCAAAGGAGGCTTTTCTCCACAGTAAAATAATATAGTTGCACTATTTACAATAACAAGGTTTCTACAATACGAATAAACAAATACATAGTAGCCTTATACACACAGCAGCCTTTATACACTGGAGCTCCACACACGAGGCTTTACTGTCGTATAGACCTCTCCTCACACAGACTGACGAATTCCCTCACTGAAGGCAAAACGAACTCTAGCATGCTTCGGTTTACTCACTCTCCTCAGGGCGACGCCAGTCCTGGTCTACTAACTCTAACAGGCTTCGGCCTAACTCTTTCAGTGTTTGATTCACACTTCTGTAATCAAAAATACTCAGTTAATATTTAATATTTCTCACAATACATTGCCATGTGCTTGAAGAACATGAGATGGGTGCTACAACATGATTGTTTATCCTATTATCTTTACATCACAAGCAGATTACATGATGCCAGAGACTGAAAGGACATGAAAGATGGATACATATGCATGTGGCCACGTTTGGACCTGACAACAAGGACTGGATTTGAGAACTATATCCTTTCTCAGTAAAATTTTGGTCAAATCCAATCCTTGTTGTCAGGCCCAAACATATAATGACATGATCTTGACAAGAGAGATGTCTAACGTTGGATGTCAACTTGTCATTCATTTGTGGGGTTGAATCACTTACTGTAAACATACCGTAGGTTCTGCCTCAGGAAGGGATTGGATTCCTTGGGTATTGGTTGAGGAAAACCAAAAAAGTATTGTCCTCGATGAACTAGAAATATGATATTCCTGATGATGGATTTATATTGTACTAGCTGTACTTGTCACGCGTTGCAGTGGCCAACCTCCTCTCCCTCTTTCTCTCCTTTCTTTCTCTCCTTCCTTCCTTCCCTCTTTTTCTTTTCCTTCTTCTTTCCCTTCTTCTTTCTTCCTTTTTTATTGTTTCTTTTCTCGCTTCCTTTGCTCTTTGGTTCCATCCCTCCTTGTCTCTTTCTTTCCTTCCTTCCTTTCCTCTTTCTCTCTTTCGTTCCTTCTCTCCTTCCTTCCCTCTTTCACTATTTTATTTCCTTCTCCCTTCTCTACTGTTCTTTCTTTCCCTCTTTCTCTCCCTTCTTCTCTCCTTCCTTCTTTCCTTCCTTCCCCCTTTCTGTGTATGTGTTTGTGTGTGCATATATGTGTGTGTATATTTCTGTATCTATTTGTGTATATGTGTATATATGTGTTTGTGTATATATGTGGGTTTGCATATGAGTTGAAATGTTTTTGTTTTGTTTTGTTTTTTGGCTTTTAAAGTATCTTCTGTGTTTTTCAATGCTTTTATGAGTGATGGTCATTCGTTGGCGTAATAGGTGTATTGTGTCCAAATTATGTTAATCCCACAAATGAACATTACATTTGTATTTATATAGATGGATAGGGAACCCTACTTGGATGCAGGCCTGTAGTTGGGGGGTGTAGAGAAGTGTCTATTATAACTGTGTTTTAAACTGTGTTTATGCTTTACATTGTAGCCATGACCTAGCTGAGAGAGATAGGTTGCCATGGTGATAGGAAGAAACAGAGATTATATTACCAATATCTCTTTATATTAGGGTGGCAGCTTAACCTAGAAGTCTCAAATTCTCATTACATTTGTGTGGTGATCCMBT